TGCAGTTTCCATGGAAAGGCCTTGACCGATGTACACAAAAAATGTCACGCACATCTACACTTCATGGTGATCAAGTGTATGAAGTTTGATTGGAATCCCTTGAAAACTGTAGAAGTAGTTCGCACCACAATTTTTTTTAAACGGCGAGAGTATAGTCAAAGATGAGATATGGTTTCCATGGCAACGCCTTGACCGACGCACACACAAAAACATGTCACACACATCTACACTTCATGGTGATCAAGTGTATGAAGTTTGATTGGAATCCATTGAAAACTGTAGAAGTAGTTCGCAGCACAATTATTTTTGAACAGCGGTGGTATAATCAAAGATAAGATATGGTTTCCATGGCAACGCCTTGACCGACGCACACACAAAAACATGTCACAGACATCTACACTTCATGGTGATCAAGTGTATGAAGTTTGATTGCAATCCCTTGAAAACTGTGGAAGTAGTTCGCGCCACACTTTTTCCAGCGGTGGGGGTATAATCAAAGATGAGATGCAGTTTCCATGGCAACGCCTTGACCAATGCACACAAAAAATAAGTCATGCAAATCTACACTTCATGGTGATCCAGTGTATGAAGGGTTGATTGAAGTTCCTTGAAAACTGTGGAAGTAGTTCGCGCCACAAACTTTTTGCAACGATAGGGGTATAATCAAAGATGAGATATGGTTTCCATGGAAACGCCTTGATAGATGCACACACAAAATGTCAAGCACATCTACACTTCATGGTGATCAAGTGTATGAAGTTTGATTGGAATCCCTTGAAAACTGTGGAAGTAGTTTGCGCCACAAACATTTTGCAACGGACCGACTGTCACGAGTTTGATGCTAGAGCTAGTAAGTAGACGCACGCATATGCTGAAGACAGAAATATTACACAACTTGAAAGTTTAATAGACCATATAACGGTTAAACGTTGGCAACTGCACAACCATCAATTACAATTAAGAAAAACTATATATATATTGATTAACAAATTATTAACATTGAGTAACAAACGTTACAGCGATACCGTAGATTAGGCTCCTCGTTCTTTGGCTTCTCCTTCCTCCTCTTCTCTTCTTCTCCTTCTTCTGCTTCTCTTCTTCAGCTTTTTCTGCTTCTCTTCTTCTTCTTCTTCGGCTTCTTCTTCTTCTTCTTCCTCTTCTCTTCTCCTTTGGCTTCTTCTTCTTCTGCTGCTTCTCTTCTTCTTCGGCTTCTTCTTCCTCCTATTCTCCAGCCACACGTGTCTCTCAAACACAAACTTCTGCCACTTCTCCGGCCGCACGTCTCTCTCTCATACACAAACTTAACCGGTCTATCTCAAACAGTACGGCTACACACACTGCTATATCTCTCTCACACATCTATATCAGACACTTTTTACACGTCTATCCCGAACCATAACTCCACACGTCTATCTCCAGACAATAACTTCCCCCGTCTGACCTCTCTCCCGCACGCCTCACCTCGCCACCTATCGCACCTGCGAATTATCTAGGGCATACAGTCCCCATAATCTAGGTCATGCCGCGTGAAAAAAACCCTGTCACTTGTGACACCTCCCGCCCGACCGACCGACCATAAGATGACTCCTATATACCCCCCTTCAAACTTCGTTTGCGTGGGTATAAAGACTTACCTGGAGTCATATGCCACGTGGACGACATTATAGTGACAGGACGCAACCAGGTAGAATTACAATGAGTGTCTGAAGTCAGTCGTGGATCGTCGGCAGCAAGCAGGCATCACTCTAATTCCAGAGAAGTATGTGTTCTTCTTTTAAGTTTAAGTTAAATCTCTTACCGTGCCTATGTGTTCTTCTTAGCAAGCCTAAATTGTCTAGGTCAGGTTGGCAACTGGGAACCCAAGTTTCCAACTGGGAAATCAGGTTGGATCCCTCCAAAAAGATCCGGCAAAGACCAAGGCTAACATTGACTTCTGTGAGCCAGACGACGTTCATGAACATCCTGGCATGCAAATGAACTGACGAGGTTCTGCTTTCACCAGTATCCTTTTTTGCATTCAACTTACTAAATACCTTTGCACCAGCGAATTTGTGCGTGATCTCCTCTAGGTCAGGAGTCTTGTGGTGCGCGCGCTTGACCGCTTCATTGAGGTCCTTAGGATCCAAGCACACTCGTAGACCCCCTCCACGCTTCTGCGTCCACGTGAGACTTGACACCAAATCAGTGGGCTCGGTCACTTTAGTTATCACTAGAGCTGTAACGATCCACCGAAATCGAATCGAATCGCGATTCTCTTCCCTCGATCCGATCCTCGATACTTTTTCCCGTATTTTCGATCCGATCCAACCCGCTAGTACTTCATGGTGGGTATATGTTTCCATGAACCAAAGTATCCTCGTGACGTACACTGACGTCACGCACGAACTCGGCTGCCTGCCTGCTGATAGAATAGTGCTGGTGGTTGCGCATGGTCATGTTCCATGATACTACGCATATCAACTTCCCCATCAGACTTTCCGTATATCAAAGAATGATGCAAAAACCTAACACTAACCCTAACACTAACTATAACCCGACTCGGTTATCTTATATACTATCTATGGTATCCCAAACACTATCTATGGTGTATAGATAGCCACTGACACTGACGTCACGAGGATACTTTGGTTCATGGAAACATATGCCCACCGTACTGGATACTGTGTGCATCGGCCGAAGCGGAAAGAATGTAATAGTTGGTTAAGAGTTTTTATTGCAAAATAATGAAAATATAAAAAATAAGATAACATTTCAATATTTTGGGAATCGAATCAATGGAATCGAATCGAGAGGCTAATATCGAGATACGGATCGAATCGAGAGGCTTGTGTATCGTTACAGCCCTAGTTATCACCCTCATTGCTTCCATTTCCTGAGCTCGTTCTTGATAGCTTGCCGCAGCTGGATCGGATACATTCGAGGGGCACGTACAACAGGTGCTACTGTTGGGTCGACAGTAATATGATATTCGCCTGGGAAGTTACCCAGTATGTCGAACGAGTCTGGAAACAGCCTCTTCAACTCAGCTGCCGATCATATGTGCAGACTCTGTTGTGCTTGTTGCGCATATGTCTATGCCGATGTCATCACACCGAAGGATGACTATGTTCATTAGCTTGCAGCTTGCTAGCCCGAGAATAGCACGGCCATCGGATTCTGCTATGTAGAATGTCAACGTCTGCCAGTCACTGTCTTTATACTGGCATCGCAGGGTTGTCGCTCCATGCTGCTTTATATCGCTGCCGTTATACGCTGATAATTTGGTCCCCGGTCAGAGTGAGACCTCTGGCTTGAGTAACCCATCAGCATCTAGTTTCTGCGGAAACATTCGATGGTATATACGCAGGGGAAGAATGAACATTCCCTTCAGCTCCTATGTCAACCTTTAGCTTTAATGTGTCCATGATGGGTCTGCTCGGTAGCCGGATGTTCACCGTTGCATGCGTGGATGCATCATTATGCTTGACAGCGTATATAGTAATGCTCAGTGCATCATATGCGACCCTACCAAAATCATCAGTGTCTGCACTGTCTTGCTCAATATCGTCGACTTGTCTGTGAAAGCTCGACTTTCCTCGTTCATAACCGCGACTGTGATAGCTACCTCGGCGTCCGCCTCTACTTCCATACGGTTGCGACTTATCACGCGGCTGGGTTGCGACTTATCAAGCGGCTGGGTTGCGACTTATCACGCGACTGCGACTTGATTACGATCTGTTGCGGCATGCTTTAGCCCAATGATTTGCACCACCGCATTTGCTGCACGTTGTGCCTCTTGCTGGGCAGCCCTGGCTAGATTTGTGCCGTGTTTCACCACATTGTGGACAACGTTTGTGGTAGTTGCTATCGCCGCACCCATGCTGCATCGCATTAACATGATTGTGCTCTCCACCTTGTACGTCATATTGAAGCCCTGCTGGTGGCTAACCGAGACATCATATATGCAGCACGCTTCAAGAGCTTCTCCTAGCGTGTATTTCTCATTCTTTACCAGTAGATCTTTTCGAACTTCAGCATGTTCCGTACCGTATGTAACCTGCTCTATAATTCGTTCATCACAGTTATCATCAAACTGGCATAATTCTGCTTGATTTTTTAGCCTGCTGACAAAGTCATTGCTCGACTCGTCACTGCGCTGCATCGTATGTTGGAATGTAAGCCTTTCCACACGAAAACTAGACGTCGGCTTTATATGTGCATCGAATTTCTTGCATACCGCATCTGCATCTTTCTGCTCGTCGGGTGACAACCCCCAGCTGTTGAACATCGCGAATCCTAAGTCACCAGTCATGAGCAGTACTTGCGGTACTTGCCTGTCAGCCTGCACGCTCTTAACAGCAAAATACGTCATCGCTTTCTGCTTGAACAATTTGTAGATGCCTACACGATCAGGCCTCGACGAGTCCATAACGCGAGCATTGAATCTTTCCATTTTTTTTCCAGTAGTTAGCCTACGGTTCATTGCTCACTTGCAGCATAGCAGACAGATATCAAAAGGCAGACAGTTTGTTTACGTGGTGCATTACGCCAGCTTTTCCCGCTCGTGCAAATTGGCGCCACCTTCCAGCATGCGATCATCTGGCGCGATGTACTGGCTCGCCCGCTTTGCCATTTTTACAACTGCTCGAGCACACTGTATGCATCAGAACTTTCGTAGGCTGACAACTAATGCACCGGTTTGAAACGTCCAAAATTCGGCAGGCATGGGCGAACTATTCGTTCACTGCTGCCACCATGTATTATTTATTTATTTATTAATTTAAAGATGGTACATTGGTAACAGATGTCAACATGAGCTTGCGAGCTCCTCACCGTCAGTAAAAATGTAGTTCTGTTGTTGTTGGTAGGCCTACATATAACATGAACACAGGCGAAGTTGCTTCACCGGCTGGTTAGCCTGTTTAATGGCGTGAGCCTTTTATTACTGTGAGCACACTTGCACGTGCACATTGCCTGTGCTGTACATGTAGTGTACTGTAGTGTAGTATACTTACTGCGAGCACACTCGCACGTGCACGTTGTCTGCGCTGTAGTGAATGACATTCAACGTGAGATCCAATGCGGCTGGAAGTCCTTCTTCCTTCACGTTGTACGACCATTTTACCTGCCATGCGCCAGAGTCACTATATTAGTATTATTCCTTACCTCTCATGACTTGCATTAATCACTACACATAGTTATCATTTATCTGTACTAATTGTCTACCTGCACTAAACCCATACCTATATTAATCACATGAGGAAAAGTTTCCATTCCTTACCTGTAGTAATGCATTACATGTACTAATCATTTACCTGCACAAATCAGTTATCTGCACTAATCATTTATGTGTAGTAACCATTTACCTGTACTAATCACCTACCTGTACTAAGGCTGAACCTGTTCCAGAGGGCAGCATCTCCACTGCACCCGTTATCGGTAGCTGGAAGAAGGAAAGCAGACGACATTCGTTAATCACACACCCAATTCATTAATGAACCACCTTAATTAATGAAAGTAAATAATCCACAAACTGCGAACCCATAATAAGTGCCGCAGAGCGACAGCGCTCACCTGACAGCAGGTGTTCTGATGCTAAACTCACTGGCAAACGAATGAAGAGAACCCTCCCATCACCGCGTTCGCGCTCAGAGCATATATATCTAGGATACTACTAATACATATCTAAAATCTATGATAGCTAGGCTTTGCTATACCGGTAGTACAGTAATAAAGATACAGCTGTGTAACTTTAATGACTTTGCTATATTAACATGTTATCATGGATATGCGTCGAGCGCGAGCGTGGTGGTGGTGGTGGGGGGAGAGTGGGGGGAGGGAGCAGGTGGAGGGGGCTCTAATAGCAAAAGCAGTTGCCGTGAGATGACGCGTGCAAGTGTCATCAATAATCAAAGATGGCATCACCCTTCGTGCGTGATAACCTCACTCCATTGAGTTGCTGAAATCCAAGTATATTCAGGCAGGCGAGAATTTCGCTCAGCTGTGAGTTAACCAGTGAAAAAATTAATTTTTTTCTTTCCGGGGCTCTTTTTGCCAACCCCCCCAAAATTTCGGGGGCTACTTTTTCATTTTCCATTTTTTTCCACTTTCCAGGGCGACTTTTTTCCAGGGCTGTTTCCTCAAATGTACACACAAGCACAGTAGCTAATACATACTCGCGGGGCGCGCACACACTACACACACGTCACACGCACGCACGCACGCACGCACGCACGCACAGACACACACACACACACACACACACACAGACACAACAGTCAATATTCAAGACAGTTATTCATCATACTGACAGACTAACATGATAATCACAACTCACAAGTCACAACCACAAATGCACTTTGAATAGTGAACAGACACTCCTCTATTTGCACTAGCCGTAATAGTTCTGTGTTTAGCTGAACCTGTGATGTATTCACTATTCAAGGTGCATTTGTGGTTGTGAGTCCCTGTACGAGCGAGGAGGATCGATTGTTTATACGCGAAGTCTCTTGCGGCTGGGGTCCTGGGCCCGCGTAAGGGCCCTGGAAGCTCAGGGGGTGCCTCGCGGGCCGCTTTCTCAAACGTGTGTATGGCTGTGCACATCGACGCTGCGTACGTGCC